CTCCAAGGCTGTCAATCTTCACAGAAGCAAAGCCCAAACCACACCCACTGCCTGGAGTCCATTCCGACCCACAGCGCCCCTAGAGGACAGAGTGGAACTGCACCACAGGGTCTCCAAGGCTGTCAATCTTTACTGAAGCTGACCACCTCATCTTTCTCCCACAGAGCAGTGGGTGACTTTGAACCACCAACCTTTGGTTTGCAGCCAAATGCTTTCACCACTATATCACAAAATCTCCCTAGGTGCATAGATACATAAGCAAAAAGATAACAGAAACAGTTGCCATTGACATGAGTCCAACTCGTGGTGATCCCACATGAGTCAGAAAATGCTCCATCCCGTAAAGCAGATGCAGTCAGCCCCGGGAAAGGCTGAAGAGGCAAAGGCTCTCATAGCTCCAGGTGTGGACCACCACCAGCAGCAACCCGTGGGAGCTTGCTGGGATGCAGTCTCTGCCCCACCAGGACCTACTAAACCCACAGCTGGATTTCAACCAGATCCTGGGTGGTGATGTGAGCGGCTCTGGTGATGTGCTGGCCAAAGCCTCAATTGCTAACCAAATGGTCTGTGGTTTGAACCCATCAGCTGCTGGGCAGGACAAACATGAGGCAGTTAGCTTCCGTGAAGACTGACAGCCTTGGAGACCCTGTGGGCAGTTCCACTCTGTCCTCTAGGGGCGCTGTGAGTTGGAGTGACCTTCATCAACTAACAATGCAGAAGGCTGTTTTGATGCCTCCAAGATCTGCTATATGGAAGACTCAACCTTAAGCAATGTCCCACTGGTGTCAATGGTAAACACACTCAGCTTCTCAGCAAAACGTTGGAGGGTTGGGTCCACCCAGACACACCTTGGCATCAGCCTGAGCTGAGACCTGACGCCTGGGAGGAGGCATGTGAGAGGACCATCACAAAGGGAGAGGTACTGGTGCCACAGGGTCTGGGAAAAGGCAGCAAGATGAGAGTGGACTCTGTTTTGTGGTGACCCACAGGCTCGGTGCCCCTTTTCAGCCCTTACAGAAACAATGTAACTGCATCTTTGAACACTTTGCCGTGCATGGCGGACTGGAGCTACTCATTAAAGGAAATAGCAGCCGGCAGCTGTTTGAGGAAAAGCTGGTCTATGCAAATCTAGGTAAGGAATCTGACACGATCCTTCCCCACCCCACTGCACCAAAGCACATTTCCTTGCATTGGTCCTGGTTTTTAATTCTTATTGTAGGGAAATAACTATATCCCCATGTCTGTCATTTCAACCACGTGTATGTGTGTGCTACCCTCCCTCCCCCACCCACCTCCTTTGGATAAACAAAAGTTTTTGTTTGTTTGTTTAATGTATTATTTATTTTCCTGGTCTTTCCCTTCAGTCAAGTGAATATGTGTCTACCCTGTAGTTAACGGTTTACCCTTCCTTTTCCAGCAGTGGGTTTGGTTTTTTATGGCGCCCAGGGAGATGTTGTTTGATCCACAGATGATCTTGGGCACGTCAGCATTTCATTCTGTTGCACGTGGGACGCCACGAATCAGGGGCTGACTAGACAGCAGGGAACAACAATTATGCCCATTATGTTGGATCACCAGGATCCATTTCTGATTTTTTTTCATCCTCTTTAACAAGAACTCAGCAACCCTGAAGCAATTCCTTCTCCTTTAGCCCAGTCCCTGGTTTAAAAAACATAAAATAAACACTGCTGTGCAGTGGATTCTGACCCACAGCGCCCCTAGAGGACAGAGTGGAACTGCCCACAGGGTCTCCAAGGCTGTCAATCATCACAGAAGCAAAGCCCAAACCACACCCACTGCCGTGGAGTCCATTCTGACCCACAGCGCCCCTAGAGGACACAGTGGAACTGCCCAACAGGGTCTCCAAGGCTCTCAGTCTTCACAGAAGCAAAGCCCAAACCACACCCACTGCCGTGGAGTCCATTCTGACCCACAGCGCCCCTAGAGGACACAGTGGAACTGCCCAACAGGGTCTCCAAGGCTCTCCAACTTTATGCAAGCACACTGCCTCATCTTTCTCCTACAGAGTAGCTAGTGGGTTCAGACCACTGACCTTTCAGCTACCAGTTAAATGCCTTAACCACTGCCCCACCAGAGCTCCTTTCCAGCCCCTGGTAACCACCAACAAACTTTGATCTCCATGCATTTTCCTTTCTCAGAATTCCATGTCACTTAGACCCCTTTTCTTCCTTACACACACCGATGAGTCTTTTCCTACTTCCTGCCAGGTATGGAGGACACGGCTGCAGAAAACTTCTCCTGCTTTATCTACGACAGGGATTTCTTGCATTGCACGTGGGCAAAGGGCAGAGCTGCCCCAGTCGACGTCCAATATTTCTTATATATCCGGGATGCCAAGTAAGTACTGGCTGTGCATGGAAAACTGTGGGAAATACAGTGCTGGCTAAACACCCTGATGGTTCTCTGTAAATCTTGACTCTT